AATTAGAAACATCCATCTTGAAACAACCAAATATAGACGTGAGAGGTTAAGCTTTTCGCAGCCTGTCTGCCTCGAACGCCGCAGCTTTAACGAGCTCGGATCAGGTGTTTCTGGATAGAAACGCCGTCCTTAAAGCTCCAGAGTTCATGCATCGATGACAGGGATCTGCCAGAGTCTTAAACTACACAGGAAACATCTCCGGCCACAATCCTTTCTGTCCCTTCATCCAGGCGGGTGGGGGGGTGGGGGACTGGGGGGGGGGGGGGGGGCTGCTGTCAGTCACCAAGCATTTGGCCCAGATACCGGGCTGATTGGCATCTAAAGGTTGGTGACTTTTATGAGGCGGGCCGTCTGCCCTGAGCAGCAGGGTGCTACTTTTCATCCCGCTCACCGGGAGTGAGGGCTGAGCACATAAAAACACAGTTTAATGCCCAGAATCTTCTTCACTTTTCCACAAGACGTGCATCTACACAACAAAGTGGGTCGGAGCTTGTCTTTTGAGACATGGACAGCTGATGGACAGAATACGTACCCACCCTCAGAGGCTGCTGCTGTGGTGGGAAAATGTTAATGCTGAGCCACGTGAGGATGGTCCCTTTGTTATTAAATCACTAAAATGCAATTTGTTCTTTTTTCCATGACTCAGCGTGAACTGTGGCCAGATTTAAAAAGATTTTATTAGAGCAGAGTGACATTCTCTGAAGCCCTTTAAGCAACCGAAACCTGAGGCGCCTCCTAACGCCGTGTTTTTTAGCCATTTGAGTAACATAAAATAAGTTCATCTGAGCCGCTTTCTTGGAAATTAATTAATCAATTACACACATTGAAATATCTCTGAAAAGTAACACATTGTAAATAACCTCTAACCTCTAAACTCCAGTGTATGAAAATCTGGGTTTTAGCCCTGAAGAATCCTCTCCCCTCTCACGCTGTTGTTTCTTTCTGCTGTTAACGGCCCTCATTCAGGGTTTATGGGGATTTATCTGCAGCCGTCTGCACAAACGACTCTAGGAGCAGATTTATGGACCGATCAGTTGGTGACCAGGAGATGCCGGCTTTCAGCTCGTCATGTCTGATCCACGGCTGGCCAGTCGCGCCCTGGCTGGTTCAAACTCATCCAAATGAGCTGCAGGATCTTCACTTCCTTTGGATCAGAGGCGCGAACACACGCCAGCAAGCTTGTTGTACACGTTCTCCTAAGCGATCCACATCATGAATTAGGAAGACACAAGGACCCATCATTTCAGTTTACAGCTCATACTGCACATGAGTGGACTGTAGGCTCAGAGGGCCACTAATGCCGGCAGCCTGCTGCTGCACTGCAATGCACCGGCGGCAGTCCGGACACCGGCTGTCCAGTTTTGTCATTTGTTGATGTCTGGTGGCAAAATGCCACCAAAAAAAGAGCAATAATGACTTATCTGTGTGATGGATGCCAATTAAAAGCCAAACTTTCTCACTAGAAACCAGAAAAAGCTGAATATGGGTCAGGTGTGGGTCCTCCAGAGCAAACTGATCCGACTCCAACCACAAAGCCTGAATATTCAGGCTGAACGCTAAGCTGAAAGTGAAACAAATTCAGGCTCAAATATCTTAAAATGTTGCTCTTTCCAGCTCAGTGTGCAAGAGGCTTTAAGCTTAGATGTATCCTGATTCTAACACGGCTGACCTTAATACACCGCGTCTCTGTGCTGGAATTAGAGAAACGGTTCATCTAAAGCCGGGGCACGGTACACACAAAAACCAGCAAACACACACTTTCATAGAAAGATGTGGAGAGGACGGAGAAAATGGGCCTGTTGGGGTGCAGAGAGAGCAGAAAAATCTGGGCAGCAGAGGAGCACACATTCGCCGAGTCATTCGGACATTAAAATAGCCAATCAGATCGATCAGAAGCCAGAAGCAGGCGCTCCTAATGACATGTAAAAGTATCCCAACACCCTCAGGATTTAAGGCGGACTTCTCCTGGTCAGCAGCTTTGCTTTTTGCCAGGCAGCCGCCCACTTCCAGGGAGGCTGCTCACTAAGGGAATCATCAAGGAACCGGGAGACCAGGAAAGTTTGTGGGTATTAATGAGGCAGCTCCATTTCCAGACCCAGCTGGGCACATCTGCACACAGCAACAGACGTAGGCTCATAGTCTCATGATCCAGTAGTGTTTTTACATTTGCAGGGTGAAATATTCTGAAACAAATTCAATTCAACTTGAAAACACGCTGATAACCCCAAAGGGAAATAATATTAATATCACATTTCTGAGAGCTTAAAGGACATGTGGCAAAAAAACTCCAACATGACCAACACACAAACACATCATTTCCCATTTTTCCCAGAAGCAGAGGTCAGTGTTTTAATAATTCAATCATGAGTCAAAATCACTGAAGGCGTATTGAGCCAGAAAAGACAAAAACTGTGAGCACTAAGCTCCATTTGTGTCCCCAAGACAAACGGCTGCTATAAATATTCATAAAACACCAGTAAAGAACCAAGAAGTCTGTGAAAGATCAGCTTCAAAATGATCAGGTGCCCATTTTTTGGCCTCAAAAAGGAGCCACGGACCACACAGGGGGGAAATATGGATGTGATTCTACAGTTATTTCCCCATTTCCAGCGTGTATTTATCTTCCATCTAACTTTCATCTCCTTCACTCATGTGATAAAGCTGCGTCGGCTGTGGTCTGTGGATGCTCTGATCAGGCATTCAGCTCCTCAACCCATTCCCCGTGCAGGTTGGAGGGCTTTAAAGGAGCAAAATGCCCCCGTTTCACTGGTTCTTTGACTGAATCCAGACGATCTCGAAGCCAGTAGAATTAAACGTGGTTGGATTTTTGTTCACACGAACACCCCCGCTCCCCCCCCCCCCCCGTCCTCTCGGCGTGCTCCGGCATATGTATTTATCTAACGACTGAGTGGCATTTATCACACAGCTTAGTCATAATTAGTCTAACTTAGTCTGGGGCAGCGAGCCTGTTAGCGGGCATATGCTCCGATCTGGTTAAAGACACTCTGCTCCCCGAGGGGACGGCTGCCTGTCGACACGTGTGTGTGTGTGTGTGCGTGTGTGTGCGGATGGCAGCAGACGGTTGCTGTGGAGCGCACCCTGAGCTGCCATTAACACAACCCAACACGTTCCCTTCCCTTCCCCGAGCCGCCAACACCCCCCCCCTCCTACCCCACCCCATGCTGAGGGAGGCCGCCTCACCCCTGGAGGGGAGTTGGTTCATCCAGGCCAGCGGAGCAGAGAGAGTCCAGGACCTGATCAACGGGGCAGGAGTGGGATGAAATAAAGAGGGAGGATAAGACGGGGGATGGGGGGCGGGGGCTCTGGCTGAGCTCCAGGGGTTTTCACTGGCAAAAGTTGAGCCAGCTGCCGGCTTCTGATGAGTTCATCAGTGCAAAACGAGCGGGACCTCTGACGACCTATCAGGAGGAGGAGACCACAGGAGCTGCTTACACACATCTGGCTGAGTCTCCCCGGAAGATGTCCCAATTAGTGACATCACGGCTGACATCAGAAGTCAAATGAATGCCGATGAAAAGCTAGTTGATGTCATCTGTTCAGTGATGAAGGAGAGCAGATGCTGCCCCACTTTCCTCCCTCAGGAAGACTGGCGTCCAGGGGAGATGGGGGCACATTTATAAGGGTTATTTGGCCATCAGGTCCTGCTCAGGGCAGCTGTCATCATCCCACACAATGCATGCCTATAAAAAGATCAAAATGGCCTCCACAACCAATCGTCCAATCACAATGTGTCTCCTGGTTAGCTGGTCCCATAATGGACTACCTATTCTGTCATCCAGATACAGTTTGACCGCATTTGGACCTCCAGCCGATCATCTACTGTCGGCCCAAGCCTGGGCCTCAGCATCACTGAAGCAGTGTGGGATCATCTGACAGAGAACGGAGCCAAAGGCAGCCCACATCCAAAGGGGGGCTTTGGGATGTCCTTCCAGAAGCCCGGAGAGCTGCTCCTGAGGACTCCTTAAAGAAAAGGACACCCAGCTGCTCGGAGAGGGTTCAAGCTTTGCACATTTCATCACCCATTTTCTCTTTCTTTGCCATTTATAACAAATAATGAACAATGTCAGAGTCTGATATGAGATGCTCTGCTTCCATCACGTCCAAACAGAACAGGACAAATGCAGTTGTGATGTCATTTGAGGGGTTCTAATACAATCTAAAAATATATTTAAACGGAATTGTTGCTTCTTTTGCTCTGCTGAGGGTCGTTTGGTTGAAGGTTTTTTCGCTCTAAAAAACAAACAAAAAAAGCCACCCGGGCAACACCTTCACCGAACGAAGGCATCGTGAGTCGTGCATGTGGTCAAACTTGCGTGGCAGGTGTGACGGTGAGGCTGCACGGCGGCGCGGGGCGCCCTCTGGCGGCCGCGGCGGGTAACGGCAGGGCTCTGCGGCTCCGCGGGAAGGGGTTAATCCACTCACAGCATCTTAATGACATCCACACCGGCGCGCCACACTAATCACGTTTGCCCCCCCCACCCCACCCCTCCCAAAAATACAATAAATAAATAAATATATAAAAATTGTCACGAAGCGACGCCAAAGCCGGAAGGAGGCACAGGGAAGCCGGCAGCTGCAGAGCATCCTGCCCGGAAAACGTCCCGGAGCCCCCGGGAGAGCAAACTGGAGAGGAATATGACAACCCAAACACACAGCAAGGTACACCCACAACAACAACAAAAACAGCTATAAAAAGGGGGGGGGAAACTGTCTCGAAGCTGTGCCGAACTGGCCGTGAGGGGCTTCCTGAAGTGGGAGCCGGTCCGCTTCCCCTCATCACACCGCCGGCTGCGCTCAGGTGGCGAGCACGCGCATAAACTTCATGACGTAAAGTGGGGCTTTTTTCTTTTTCTTTTTTTCTTTTTTTTTACACGCAAACCAGACATTCAAAGTTACCGGAGAGACAAGCAGGGGAAATAAAAAAAAAGAAACTTAAGCGGGGGGCGCCGGTGGGAGCAGGATACTGCACTTCGACTCACCTTGAGCGGCCGTTCCTCGGGTGCTGAATACACTTGCTATCAAAGTGGCCACATACCAAATCATAGTACTGTTACCGGCCAGAAATAAACCTCATCATATCTCAAAGCGCCCCTTTCGGTGAGTCTCTCATCGCCAGGTGGCCCAGGACGAGCTGCGACGGGCCGGTATCCCTGTTCTCCTGTTAACCGAGCCCTGGACACTTTCCCATCGGCGTTCACCCCTCTCTCTTCCCCTCTGCTCCGCTCTCCGCTCGCATCCTCAGACACATCACCTGCGCCAATGGGAAGAGAGCAAGCGCCGGCGTGAAACCAAGCGCGAGCCTTTAGAAGCGCGAGGGCCCGCCTTTAAAGTTTTCCCATTGGTCAGCGTGGGCCGAGTGCAGCCGCTGATTGGTTACCTGTGCTGTCCCTCTGGTTCATTTACATGATGCTTTTAAAGGCTTGGAAAATTCTGGTTTCAATCCAGATCGAAATACTTCTGATGTTTCCTGATCTTTTTTCGTAACTTCACGCCTCATTTACAACATGTGAATCATAGTTGGACGTTTTTATACGCCAATAAACTAAATAAAGTATGTTGGCTTGAACTTGAAGCAAAAATATAACTTTTGAGACAAAATCAAATTGATTTAAACAGAGCCAAATCTGCGTGCTTTTTTAAGCATCCAGATAATAAAGTAATCTCTACAACCAGTCTCAGATTGGAAATGTGGTGGGAAACTTGTGGTTCCTTTGCAAAACTAAAACGGGGGGCCATGTCAAAGTTTAACTTTGCAATAGCGTCACCATTGGATCAATAACCTCGCCTTCTGGAGCACCTGAATGCAGCAAAACCGGGGAGCCGTTTCATGGTGGGTTGGAGCGTGAATCCGTATCGGAGCTGCAGTATCATCCTGCGCAATAAGGGGAGAGGAATCCTCCAGCCTGTGCATCACCTCATCCATGTCGTGCAATGCTTTAGAAATACGAGACAGCGGTGTTTACTATCAGAATAAGACGTGTTTGTGGTCAGGCTGGCTCGTGATGAAAGGAAATCAGCAGACTCTATTGATTAAACGAGAGTGGGAATGAATTTGCCTTAGCCTACAGCTAAATTCAGCATGATTCATCTCTTTTGATGCACTAACTTCGTCAGTAAAAGTTTAAAATTCAAGTGACTCAGCTTGGCTCATGCAGCATCCCTCAGAGTTAACACTACCTCCAGGTCTACCAGGAGGAGGTTTGGTAATGGTTTCAACAAACCGAGCCACTCATGACTCTAACTACATGTTTTCTGGGCTCTGGTGATTCTCATCCACACATTTTGACGTCAACCTGTGGAGATATTGATGTAATAGATACGTAAAGCTTGAGATGGGACAAGAATATGTTTCTCTTTTTAAAGCATTCCCAAACATTATTTAATATTAGGGCGTCTCAGCATTCAGGATGATAATCTTTATTTTATTTAATCAAATGGAAAATAACATTAAAAACATTTTTATTTTATTTAAACCACATTTTCTTTGATCATTTAATCAACATTTAGCAGCATCTTTTTTCTGAGAATTTCCCTCTTTTCTGTCTAGCAGCCCCTTTGGCAGGTGTGCTAAACAGAAAATAATGATTTACTGTCTAAAACCAAGCAAAGAAAGGAAGCACATCCTCAGATTTTCAGCGAAAGCAGAGGTTTTTGTGCGTGTGTGTGTGTTTTATTAAAAAGGCAAATGCTTGCCAGAAAACCAAAAGACAAAAAAGAGCGATAGAGCAAAAGATAAATGTGGGTGAGGGTGAGGAAAGGGACGAGAAGCCGGGGGGGGGGGGGAACAGAAGGAAGACAAACCTAACTGGCAGAGAATTTAAAAAAAACAGAGGGCTTAATTACAGAGGAGAGTGGTTACCGAGTGGAGACGGCTGAGGATAATGAGCACAGGTGAAGGGAGAAGAGCTGATGGCCAGACAGGAGGGAAACTGAGGAGCTGCTGGTCTGATTGAAAAGCAAAAAACACAAAACAAGAAGAGAAAAAAACACTAAGAACATGGTAACTAGGAAAAATCCACAACGAAGAACGCCAGATAACCGACAATGCCAAACAAGTACAAAAAAAACCCACAAATGACAAAAATATTCAAAGAACAATAACCCTGAAAACAGAGGACAGAGTTAAAATTTCACAAAATAACCCAAGAACGATAAACTGGACGGTGCACTTCTCCCAACGTGCCTGTAAATGCATCTAAAGGTCACACTGTAGAAGAGATATTGAGAAATGAGAAGACTTCCGACATAAAGCTGCTGTTTCCAGCTTTGAATCAGGTTGAAACCCAGTTTTAAAGGAAGTTCGTGCAGCCGTGGTCTCATTTTTTTACTTCAATTTCAGTCTGGAAAAGTGAATAATTCTTTATTATTTTTTGGGGGGGAAGAGTCTAGGTTCAGAAATATGTAAAGATCTCTTCTTGACACTCATTTATTTCATCTCTTCCCTCTGATCCGCCCCTCAGGCCCACAGGGCCCAAGTAGTTCTTGTTAGCTTGTGTACGGCATTGGGAGTGCGGCGTGTCAAGTCACAGTATGTCAGCGTCTCTGACAGAGACATCACTGTCTCCCAGATGCAGCTGCTGGCCTCTTTTCCGTGATGCTCGGCAGCCGCTCTGGCCGCTGTGGCGCTGGGAGTGCAGCCACGTCTCAGAGCGAGCTGTCAAGCCGAGCAGCGAGCTTTAAGAGACCCGTGTGAAGTGCAAATGCTGTATGCAAATGTGAGCTTTCATCATTTGCTATCTGTTCTAGCGCTGCAGTAATGTCCAATCAGGCTCTTCTTCCTTCCTGGGGTCTAATGAGCCAGGTGTGACCTGCTAACTGTTCCCAATTCTACCTGTTCTGTTTAAAATGAAGGGATACATTACATTTCTGTAGCTTCTTGGATGTCACTCTGTTGAAAACGGCAGTTTGAGGGGAAGACTGAAGTAATAAACGAGGGCTCTATAAGTCAGATAGACTGTGAACTGAGCAGCTTTTCTCTTAAAAATGTGTCAGGTCATTTAACCAACCAGTTTTATATCTGGTTGGTAACCGGTGACATGTCAGAGCAACTCTCATGTTGTATAAGGAGGGGAAATGAGCATTTAGTCACCTTTTTCTTCGTGTCCAAAGGAAAAAAGTAAAATGTCTGCTGTCTCTCTTGACCTGAGAGTATCTTTGCACCAATGTCATATGAATAAAGGATTTTTTGGGGGTGGTTAAGATCATTTCAGGGTGTCTGAAGGGTCCCTAAAACAGTTTCCTGCTTACATTTACTAAAACGGATGATAATATAATAAACATTTTACTCCCAATAGAAGACAGAAGCCATAGGATGGGTCCTAAAAAAGTTGCTAGTACACTTTGTTTCTCCTTCTTTTAACACCACTCTGTGAACATCTGGATCAGAGAGCAGCTGCTGGACCTTTGGGAAAGGAAGGTTGTCTCAGGCGTCTCGATTTACGATTCTAGCTGCTCGCCTGTCCTGGATTTCCTTTGTTGTATTTTGTGTTTAACCCATGAAGTCACATCCAATTAAACCTGCTTAGGACAAACCTTTTGAATCCGATCCAAATAAAGTACTGGCATTCCTATTTGTGAAATGCCTCAATGTACTTTGTGTACCTGCGTTCTTCTAACTTTTTGCCAAAAAGTGAGGAGAGGATGGGAACACGTCAGTGTGTGTGGGAGGTTCGAGGCTGCCACACAGCTGGAGAGTTGTTCGTGTCAGTGGGAGGATGTGAGAGACATGCAGGAGTCCGGCGGCCTGTGGATGAACGCTGCTCCTCTCAGCCCCGTTTCTCACTCCTGTGCCGCCCGCCTCTCTAGTGCCAGACTGTGAGTGTCCTAAAGATCGGGTTCCCTCCTGTGTCTGACAGTAGATGTCCTGGCACAAGCCTCTCCTCAAAGATCAAGGGTCACTCTTATTGGATGCTGAGCCAAATGTCCAAAAGATAAACTCACAGGTTCTTCAAAATGTAATTTAGATACTGGATTTATTAAGCGACAATTAGTCTTCTGACCAATCAGGTGAGAACCAGAGAAGTTCAAAACTGCTTTGAGGTCAGCTCTCGTGTGTCGTACTTTGTGTTGTCAGATTTTCAATGGTGCATATTTTCATAGTTAATTTGGAAATGATAGTTCTTTCTAGGTTATGAGTGCATCTTTACCTTTTTTTTTTTTAAAGATGGGTATGTTGCATGTTGCAACCTAAAGCTAAAAGCTTCTAATAAAAAAAAAAGGCTATGGATAGGCCTCAATAATACTTAAAGGTTTAAACTTGAAATGAAGTGTAAAGTGTTTCTGTGAGTGGCCTCCACAGGGTGAAGACAAAGGATGGATGCATACGGCCAGCTTTCCTTTGCCTTAGTCAGCATCGAGATGAACAATATTTATGCTGCAAACAGTCAGTCTCCTGGAACTTACTGCACATGACATCATTCGTAATCCGTCAGGCCTTCCCAGATCCCCAAACCCGAACGTGGAAATTCCACCGGGGGCTCCGCGCCAGTTCACTCCTGGTTGGCGCGAGTCTGCTGAGTAGCAACAGAGAGAAGGGCCGGACGGCGAGAGCTGTGGCTGTGTGTGTGTCACCGGCGGATGTTTTTGTGTTCTCTGGAGGCACCAGAGAGTACAGACCTGTGGGATGGAGGGGAATTATGTGGAGAGAGAGTCAGGAAAGAGAAGGGAACAAAGACAGGCCGAGTAGGCTGGGAGATAAGGGCGAGCTGGAGTATGACTGAAAATATCCAGTCATCGGTTCAGGAGCACAGGTTTCACATCTGTTCAGTTTTTTTCTGTCTACAGGGGTGTTTTCAGGCTCTGGTTTTTGGTAGAGAGACTCTGCAACAAACAGAAAAGTGACAAGAAAACTTGATCGGATCTGAGTGAACGATTCATCATCCTTATTGATTTGATTTAAAATATATAATTGTTTTTGGGGCTTTTTGGCTCACTGACCAATGACCTGGACTTTAAGACAGCTGGATTTGCAGCTTTAGTGGGTTTCAGGGGGAAGGTTGGGTCCAAAAGAGACCAAATGCCCTTTTGTGAGAGACAGAAACGAG